CGTCTTCTGGTGGAACCGACCTTCAAATCTCTTCACCAAACACTTTCACTCGAAATGGAAGTAAACTCAATAATTATGAAACAATAGATTCTTCGAAACCCAACTTTTCTTCGCAACATTATCAGTGCTTATACGCTACTGGTCTAGGCTACTGCTCAAAATGGGCTCTTAAGTTATTTTGGTATGAAAGTTTTAGGCCAGCATCAGAACGGGAAATTAGTCGCAGGGCGGTGCGCCGAGAGCTTACTCGCACAAATCTACAGTCACAGCTCTAGGGCAGCTTTCGGTGAAGCCAATCTGCAGATCCCTTCCAATCTCCTGTTGGCCCATCTTTCATTTCGTTTGGAAGCGACTCACTAGTTGGTCTCACTGGAAACACAGAAGGAATTTCCTATGAATTGTAACCGTGTATGTGTACGTATAAATTCTTGGCTCACCGTGCCGTGATACCGATGCATTTGGATACAGTTCTTGTTTGTCAGGGGCTAACTCTCCTTTAAAACAAAATGAAAGGTACGCCGTCGTCAAGCTGATAAGGGATCTTTGTTTATAGGCAGGTTTTAAAGACTATCAATAGATCATATGAAATATTTTCACTCAATTTCGTTTAAGATGATAAGTGAACTGGTCGTTGAATTGTCCCACAATGCTGTGAGTAGACCTAATGTTCCTATTGAATTACACCACTTCACTATGTCTCCCCAGCACCCCTAGCGGGAATCGAACCGTGGCAATTCAGCTTATCCTCTCGACACTACGTCACATTGCCTCAAGTGTCTTTGGGTCACAGGGCAGATGTGAATTTCATGGATGGCCAGCCATTTCCCCATATCGCATTTTGTGGTCGGATTGTCGATGAGGCAAAGTTGTATTTGCTATAGCAATCGAACATATTAATTATTTTTCGTTTATAAGCAGGTTTTCGCGACCCTCTGGGGACGCTGATGAGATTTGGGCGATGTTAAATCTGCAGTCCACCCCAGCCGGGATGAGACTATCCTTTTACAAGCCAGGCTATGTGAAATTTGATGCAAACGAATTAGGGTGAATACATCTCATAGTAGGTTACTCTTCGAAGCATAGTTGGTTAAATTATTTTATAAGTAGTATGTATATTTTGCAATATTCTTGCATCCGAAATGAGTAATAGCAGTGAATGCTATCTCACATAATTGTCTGTCTCATCGACAACCCCCATGACAAGAGTGATTAAGATTTTGTTTGCCCAATAATGCAATCCTCATGAGTTTTTCTAAACAGATCCCACATGGAGCCCACCAAGACACGCTTTCAGACGTGATGCAGCATCTGGTATGCGAGAGTGGGTTGGGTTAATTTGGCCTCGATAGGGTCAGTTCGTTACAGGCTTGTTGAGGAGCATGTCACCGTTGGGACGACAGGTCAACGAGGCGTCTGTGGTGCAGACGTGTCGAGCGAATTATTGATGAGCGAAAGTGAAAGTCGGGCCTTTCGTCAAGAATGTCACTGAAAAGTGACAGAACAGCCAGCCCATCCTCGAATTGTTTCCTCCCGCGACCCCTTTGCCTTTGGCCAATTGCACCGGTTGAGCAGGCGAATGCAGGGCCAAACATCTGCTAAGCCATACAGATACATGTTAAGGAGACAGTGCACAGACTTGCATTGTTTGTGGCTGTGCAAATGGAGTGAACAAGGGCTCGAGAAAACCGGCCAACACGTGCCCGAAACACTGAGACGCAGATGCTATATGAACTGTGCCGGGCTGTGGGCTAGCTTTGAGCTGGTGTGTGAACGAGACGGCGTGACATTCAATTTGGTGGCTCTTGTGAATGTGGTTGTTTGAATGGTTCGCCAGTTTGGAAGGTGTCTGCCTCGGGCTCTCTCATCTTGCGCGTAGGGTCGGAGGTTGGGATGGAATGGAATGGAATGGAATGGGAAGAGTGCACTCACATGAGAAGTCGGGCGGGAGGGAGGGAGGGAGGGAGACGAAAGACAAGGGACGAAAGATAAGTGTGGGCGAAAAGGACGACCGAGTGATGGTGAAGGGGCGATTGAGAGGGATTTAGTGCAAAAGAGCATCACTACAACAACTTTTAGGCATTCGGTCTCTTGACCTGTCCACCCCTCGTCGGGTGCTCTACTTCAGGCTCCTCTGATGCGTGTGAAGGAGGGGAATTCGGAGCGTGTAGGAGATGGGGGCAAGGAGAGACGAGGCCTCAAACGGCCTGGTGACCAGAGTGAGGTGAAAAGGCAATTGAGAAAAGTGAAGTACAGCCGCTGATGAGTGTGCCGGTTGGACAGACTCAATTGCAGGTGGGGACTGGGATGGGGCGAAGAGGGAGGATGAGAAGTCACCGGGAATTGGGAGAAGTGGGGGGGGCGAAGTGATTGGTCAGAAACAGGGTTGAAAAGCGACCAAACTGGCCGGGCTTGCGCGATTGAGTGTCCCGGACAAATCGGCTCAAGAGGCTTGAACTGCCGCTTTCTCGGACGAGACGA